TGTGCACGTGCGATGCACGTGTGTTATATGTAATTTTGTATTTAATAGAGTTCAACAATTCATGTGTTTTATTTATTCGTTCATCTCGAGATAATTTAAGTGAAAAAATGAAAACTTATTTTTAGGAATTACACGGAATAATTCATCGACTAAATAGGAATGGTATGAAATGAAAAGAATACAATTAAACACAATAGTAACATTTAGAATATAACAATCTAATGTTGAAATGGAAAGTTAAACAAACAAACAAACAAAAGTTGGAAATAAGTTACGTACGATTTAGGCCTCCATATGTAGTAGACAAAGTATACCATAAACATTAGCAATTCATTGTTGATGAGCTCAAAAGTACATGTATCACCTATCTCGATTAAATATAATTTGTAATTTCAAATCAAGTATTTTGTTGATGGGTGTGTGCTAATATACTTGAAGATTTAGACATGGGTGAAAGTCCAACATAGAAGTATTGCACTTACTGATTATCCAATAATTTAGACATTTCCTTAATAACTCCTTCAATCTATCCCATGCCTCATGGTAGCTTTCAATCAAATTGATGGAAGATTCCCAACTTCAGTTTTGCTACTTCTGCAGATGAGAAATTTTTGTTGCACAATTTCCTTACCAAATAATGAATAAATTGACAATTCCTAAGAAATCTTGAACTATGAGTATTCGGGTTTATATGTGCTTTCTCGTAGAACAGTAGGGTATGAATAAATTGACCAAATCAATCTTTATCTGAAAGTTATTTTGTCTAAACTCTGAATATACAATACTAGAGCATTCGAACGCTACTACAAGAGTCAAAAACTGCAAAACATGTAAATTTCTCTTATCTAGTTCCATCGATTCACATTGCTGAACCTGAGGTGCTGCTATCCTAATGGCTTCTAGCGCAATAGATAATCTTACTAGATCATCCGCTATTTGAAATTTCTGCTTTTGTTTTGTTTTCGTCTGATGGTACGTTATATTTTTCATAAGAATTTGAACTATTTTTAATTTTCATAATTTTTTATTTAATTTTTACAATTTTACAATTTATTTTCTCATTTTATTTTTCATTTTTTATAATTTTATAATTTATTTGTCAACTTTTTTTAGTTTTTAGAATTTTATTTTTCTAAAATTTTAGAATTATTCTCTTAGAAATTTATATTTTAATAAAATTTTATTTGAACGTTTATTTCTCATGTTTTGAGTATTTTCAACATTTTTACTGAAAACACTTTAAAAAAGTTAGCTGGGGTCGAAGGTACAGGTTGATAAGAAAAAGTGGGGGCATTACACTAAAAAGTATAATGGAGTATTTGCGGTGGAGTGACGATATTGTCAATTTTTAAACGAAGTGATATGAGTAGAAATAGGATGAGCATACAATTACATTATTGTCTGCGAAATATTTAAAAAAATTTCGAAATAACAATTTTATGGGAATTACTAGATTATGTTAATATCCCGTAATCTATTTAAAATTTTGAAAATGTATTCTAATTTCGAGTGTGCAAAGCAAGAGGCCAAGAGTCTAGAATCATTAGACCACTGATTCATTGCCACTGTCATCTGGGTGGATGAATTACATTCTCTATAATTTTTTGAGATTTAAATTTCACTAATGGTTATTATCGTGTATGCAAAATTTCAAGTTGACATTAGTTTTAGATTGCTTAGATCTCTCTCAATCCTTTTGTCCTCCCTAAAAATTCCAAAAATTATATTTCTTTAACGATGATTTATGAATTATGATTCTATTGAACCAAGAGAAAAATCACACCCATATCAATCAATGGAGTTCTTACGAGGGGTCGTTCTCTAGATAAGTACATGAGAACGTCTATTAAGATAGATTTCAATGATATTTGAGACAAATAACAGATTTAGGAGGTTGGCCTGGTCTATAGTCTATAAGCCATCCTAGCCCCAGTCAAATTACATTTTAAACTTATAAATTTTTTTATTAATATTCAGTCTAAAAGTTTTTTTAATTTAGTCATGGATCCGTCCCTATCCGGGACTCCAACTTTGGGACGATTTGTGGATTTGAACAAATGGGCAAGAACCTTATATTTTGCTCCATTTGACCCATGTTTGATCAACTGATTTGTTGTGGGGTTAGCAGGTTTAAAATGATTTGCGAAATACTATTTCAAAACGAAACTAAAAAAGGCGATTTAGTTAAGTTGTGTTTTAAATCTAGCAATTGTTACATTTAATAGCCAAACAAGAGTCTGCCATTGCCTTGACCAACATAAGTATCCAGTCTTGAGGTCCATCTTAACGGTTTAACATCATTAAGAGGAGTCGTCAATGTCCTTATATGTTGGTTATATCTTTAATGAGTATTCGGAATGAAATTTATCCCATAATATGCCTCTCAAGGCTGTGAATCATTTGAACAAATCAATCTTAATATTCGTATACTCGTTTGAGTCTTAAAGGATCAAATTGTTCGTTTGGATTTAATAAACTCTAATGTCATATTATAAGTCTTAAAGTTCTATCTTAAAATATCAACATTATTAAAGGAGTAATGCAAACCTTTACATGTTTATTATAAACTTGATAAGTTAATGGTCTGGGATTTATCATGTAATAATAAGGTACCGGAGTGACCAAAATAAATTGAAGATTATTGATTTAATTGAGACAAACTAAAGTTGGAAGATTCAATTGACCTTTTAATGAAAGTTAGGGACCAAAATGTAATTAACCTCTTCATTTTGGTTCTTTTTACTGATTTAGAAGTTCAACCAAATAAAAAAAAATTACAGAAGAGGTCTAATTTCTAAACCAAGACAACTAAAGCCAGAATCAATCAGCTTTTAAGTTATGGGTTACCTAGAAAAAAAGCAAAAGAAAAAACGATTACACGTAACCAGTTAAATTGCTTCTTCACACATTGCATTGTACATAGAGCGGCAAGTAACGTTATGTTCGACTGGCCCGGGCACTCAAAAACTTCACATCAATACGCTTCACGAGGTCTTTATTTGTGTTTTCCTTCAACGTCGTGAACTCTATCCAACGACTCTTCAAATGCTCGTAGTGCAACCTTATAATGGTCTAGAGAGATCACCCCCTCCTGCACAACTTGCAATGCACTTCTGTACAATTGATTGAAGCATTGCACCCGTTCACTAGCATCTGTAGTACTTGACCCATGATTTGGTATAAATAAACGCTTATAATCCTTTTTCCACCGTGATAATATGTACTTTGATGGTATCTCCTCTATACCGTTGAAGTTGAGTACACTTAATGCATGTCGGCATAAGTAACCGTAGAAGTTGAAGCAGCTGCAGATGCAACGAACTTCTGCCGCCACTCGATTGTACAAAACTTCATAATCCCTAACTTCTCTCCGGTTTCCTTCACTGAGAACCCTTTCCTTCACTAGAAAAATTATAACCGGTCCATCAATATGTATCTGTGTAGTACTGAAACAAGAATACATTTCCTCAACCTCCAACTGAAATTTTTTGAATATTTCTGGAGTATATACCTTGGACACCTGCAACTCAAATGCACATCTTGTTTTCAGTTCGGGACTTGAGCACCTTGAATCTGAATCTGCAGTGGCTTCTTCCTTGTGCTTTTTCTGCAACGCTAATTCATACTTGTCGAGAAATTCTTTCAACGGAGTTTGCTTGTGCACGTACTTATCGAAAAATGGATTTAAGGTCTCACCAGGTCTTGCAGTTGCCATTCCGAGAAAAACGGTATCCTTTACATAAACTGGAGCCCACAGAGCTCGATCCTCGTATAATGACCTAAGCCACTCGTTATCACCTACTCCAAAATGCTGGATCATAAATCCCCATGCTGCATCAAAGTCAAAAGGCTTCAGAGCCTCGTAAACTCCTTTAAGCAATGCCTTTCTTATAGCATCGTAGTTTCGCAGTCCACCCAATTTCTCGGGAACTTTTCTCATAATGTGCGACAAACCAAATCGATGGTGAGACTTTGGAAACACATCGGCCACCACACTCTGCAAAACCTTGCATCTGTCTGTGATAATGGTTTGTGGGGAATGTCCGGATGTGCATGTAAGCCATGCTTTGAATAGCCAAATGTACCAGTCCATTGTCTCACCTGCAAGCATGCCACAACCAAGTAACACGGATTGACCATGGTGATTTATGCCAACAAATGACACGAGGGGGATCTCGTATTTGTTTGACAAACAAGTATTGTCCAAAAACAAAACATCACTGAAGTAACCGCTTGAGGCCCTAGACCTAGCATCCATCCAGAAAACATTCCTCAAACGCCCTTCATCATTGAGATCCATCAAGTAAAAAAAATTTGGGTTCGTCAACTGCATTCGACAAAAGTAATTATAAATTGCTTGTGTGTCACCTTTTCTTAAATTCAAGTGATCGGAACGATCACATGAAGATCTGACCTTCGTTTGGACTAAATTTGAGGTCTCATAACCTCCTGCATCAATCACTAGGGCCCGGTACAGTTTCACTGGTTGCATGTCTGATTCAGAGTTCGTCTGTATTTTCCTCTTGGTTTTGGCCACCATCATTTTACTCGTCTTGAAGCCTTTTGCAACTAACAAATGGTTGTGCTCAAGAGAAACTTCAAGTATCCGCCACCTTTTAGAATCCAATAACCTCATCCTTATCATTGCAGGACAACCGGTTCTCGTTTCCTTCCGCAAATGGTTTACATCTTTAACTCTTTTAAAACCCTGGCTACTGCAACAAAGTACAGCACCATATTTCTCTCTGCTATTTCTTTTAAACCACGAGTTTTTGACTCTCACACTAAATCCAATCTCCCTTGCATAACAATTATAATAATTGTAAGCATCATCGTAGGACTCAAACTCCATTCCTATAGCAGGCGCAACGAATTCTCTCCTTCCTTCATGTTTGTTTCCATCATGAATTCCATTTTGATCCTCTAAAGCTGTTTTATCATCATCTATTTCTCGCAGAGTTTGACAACTTTGTGTATCTGTTGAAACCTCAGTGGAAAGAGAAGTTTCTTCCATATGAAACTGAAAGAAAAAGAAAATGTCAAAAAAGCATAGCAGAGTTTAGAATCACAAAAGAATAGCTGGCAAGGATGAAGATATTTTGTGCTATCTGCATCAATAAAGCTTCTTGTACAATATTGGGTTACAACATTGGCTAACAACCTCTCACAAGGCAGCTGGGGCCCACTATTATTTAAATCGCGGCCCACCCTTGTGGGAGATTGTAACCCAACATTGTACATGTAGCATTGTTCTATCTGCATTCTTCATTTACGACTTCCGAGTTGTAAACCAACATATTTTCCTAAATTTCCTACATTGTGCTGTTGGTAACTAATGAGGCTTTGCCTGTACTCCCAAAAATCCTTAGGATACTTCATTTATTTACTACCAGTCGCTCGACTCATTAATCATCCTTCTTTATTTACATTAAGTGCACGTTTGGTTTGCAGTATAGAACAGTACAAGGACATCAACAAGATTTAGCTTCTTTTCTTTTTGAGTTCAATACTATCCAATTCGCCCTACAGAAAATATTGTAAAATTACTAGCCTCCAAGAAAATATATCAAAAAAAAAAAAAAGTGCAAATTATTCTCTCATACAAAATTTGTTTTAATGACAGCAAATTTCTCCACATAAACAGTCACTGAACAAGAAATTCACTCATATATTAAAAAACGACTGCCAAATTCACTCTAAAAAGATCGATTCAAAACAAAATTGAGCATTATAAAAGCTGGGTTTCCATCGAAGTATCAATTGCTTCAATGAAAAATTAAAAAAGAAAAACAGAAAATAGATAATTTCCTCATTCAAATAGAAGCACTAACAAATTTCATCCTAATAATCAAGTCTTGCAATTCATGTATGAAATTCCTCCAAAGATCAAAGGATTTGAAACATTCAACATTCAAGATCAAAACTTTACTCTCAAATCCAACAATTTCGGTTCTTGTAACTTTGAAATACTAAATAGTCAAACCCTTAAATTAACTGAATTATATTTTTGAAATTGATTCTATTTCCTACTTTGGTTTAGATAAAATTGAGAGAAAGAAATCGCGTGACTTACATAGGAGTAACTGGAACAACCACGGCGGGTATACGACGGCCGAACACCTGTGGGCGGTGGCACTCCGTCCAGAACGAAGAGTA